CTCTTTCGCGGTGTCGCCGCCAGCACTGCTTGGCCCCTTGCAACGTGCGCCACATAGCCCTCGGTGGTTGGGGGACAGTGGGTAGGGGGTTAGGCGTGGCGAGGGAGGGGGTGGTTGGTGGGTGCCTGGATGTCGCGTTGGTGGGGAGGGGGTTGGGGATAGCATAGAGAAAGGGGACAAGGGTACCAGTCAGGATTTCGAGGTAAGAACTGGAGACAGTATTAAAGAGAAAGAGACAACACAGCACTGGCCGCCCTCGGATACTGTACGTTTTTGCCGAATTCTTTTGACTGTTCTCAGATTTGCAGGTGAGCAATGGCGGCTTCGCTGGGTACGCCACTGATGAGGATTCTGTATGGTACGGAGACGGGCAGTGCACAAGATGTTGCGGAGACGCTGTGGAAAGATGCGCGGTTCCGCAATATTCCAGCTCGGGTTTCCAGTTTTGGCGACTACACTGTTCAGGTACTTATGCACCTCTTAATTAGGCTATTTTCTCTTTTTTCAGTTTTCTGGGGCAGGTTCTGTGGAGTGAGGCGAAATCGTCCAGGCGAAGAAAAATAATTGGCCAACGCACGGGCTGTCCGTGCGAATATGCGTTTCTTGCAGGGTTCCCCGCAATTTTTGTTGCTACCGGCATCGGTTTTTTCGACAAATGCTTCAAGCTAAACAAATTAAGACTGGCCACCAGAACTGGCAAGAAACACCCCTTAAAATTTCAGCTTTCTAGTTTTCCTGGCTCCTGAGTTAGGAACTTACTGGAAAAAACTTTCACGCGCCCGCACGCGGGTACGACGCATGCCCGATATCTGGGTTTGAGCTCGTTGAGACTTACTTGGACGGGGAACATTCCCTTAAAATTTCAGCTTTCTAACGTCTCCGAACCCCGAGTTATGAAATTATGCGGGAAAAATTTTGACGAACCCGTACGCGGGACGCTTACCCGGGGGTTGGGTTTGAGCTTATTAGCACCTACCTGGGCGGGAAACATTCCCGTAAAATTTCAGCGCTCTAGCTTTTCTGGTTCGCGAGCTACAGCTTACTCGTAAAAAACTTTGGCGGGCTCTTACGTGGGCAACACGCGGGAAAGACCGCCCATTTCGGGGATGGGGGCTCGTACGTGCATGTAGATTAACTTCCCAAAATTTCAGCCCTGTAGCTTTTGTGGGTCTCGAGATGAAAAATCGGTACAGACGCGCAGCACACACACACACACACACACACACACAC